GCATACTTTATATAGTCCTGGAAGAGTCCATGTTGTAGGTATGTTACGGTATCACAACAACAAACGAGATAACCATCCGATGGTGACTCGAGTCTCCAAACAACACTCTCATGTGCTTTCGATTATCACTGTTAGCTATTTCTTTTTCTTTTATTGCTACCCTCTTCTCGGGACTGTAGTATATTAGACTTAATCTTTGATAGTATAGAAAAAGCACTCTCTCTTCACACATCTGCGAAAATCTTTGTGTTCACAACACTTGGCTTAAACACTCTATAGTTTCTATTGGTATCTCGTACCAATCATATTTCATAAGACCGCTTTCCGTTAACAGCATGACCGTAAATTCTCCTTTAACTATGCACTCAACTCATCCGGAATATCCTTGTTTAAATTTCCCACTTAGAACTGAGTCTCTGTTGAATGATATGCATATAACCCCTTCTATGGTTTCTGCTATCATCTCCAATCTGGATCCCCACAAACCATGAGGACCTGTAATAGTTCTTAACCGTGCTCTCTAAACACCATAAATGCCTTGCTGCCTTTTTCTACTTGCTGGAAATCCTATTCCAGTTTTTAAGAAATCAGGTGAAATGCCTAACCCTTCAAACTATCGGCCAATTAGTCTTCTACCTTTTTTGGGAAACAACTAGAGGCCTTAATCAATGCCGAATTCGTTAAGCAGGGTCTGTTTTCAGACAAGCAATATGGCTTTCGTTTATCTAGATCAATTGCTGATGTTCTGATGCGAACTGTGGAAAGAATCTATCATGCTCTAGATAAGAATGGTGAGGCTCGGGCAGTTGCTTTGGCGATCTCAGAAGCTATTGACAGGGTTTGACATACAGCTCTTCTTCATAAGTTGAAAGGTTATGGTGTCTCTGGTCAAATTTTCGAACTGATCCGGTCTTTCTTATCAAATCGAGAAATGAAAGTTATCCTGAAAGGCCACTCTTCTAGATTCTTTTACACAAATGTTTCTATCCTTGGTCCTACTTTGTTTTTAATTTTCATTAACAACTTTCCTGATGGCATTCTCTCTCTTCTTTGTATTTATGCTGATGACACAACCATTTACTCCTGTATCGATACTAAGTGTGATTGGTCTAATATGGTCGAATTGGCGTCTGATGTAAAAACCGAGTTTCAATCTGTTGTTAACTGGGGCAAAGAATGGCTTGTTAATTTTAACGCCTCCAAAACTAAATTGCTCTCTATTAATCATCTGCCTTCTATCAACATGGCTGATGCTAACCCCCTGGAGAGTGACTCGTTGCACCTTCTCGGGTTAACTTTCTAGGCTGTCATAAGGTGGAAAGACTATAATGAATCGATTGCTAGATGAGCTGCTAAGAAAGATGGCTAGACTATTTTCTCTCCTGAATCTATCTTACATATCTATAAGTTTACTATTCGTCCATGCTTAGAATATTGCAGAATATTGTCTGGTACTCCCATATATCTAGAGCTCCTTGATAACATCCAAAGAAGAATCTGCAGTATTATTGGCCCTGATTTGGCGCCTGAGTTACATTCATTTTCCCACCACCGTAAAGTTGCCTTCTTGTGTCTTTTCCAGAAATACTTCCATGAAAAATGTTCAGATGAGCTCTTCACCAGGATACTTAGACTTCATGAATTTAAGAGCAGTACAAGACTGGCAAAAAAAAAAATTAAACGCAATGTCAATAGCTTTCTACTTTTCTAGTGATTACTCTTCTTTTGTTCTTGCACCTGAGTAAAATTTCTGTTTCTTTATTCTTCCACGCCCAATAAGCTCTTGCGTCTTAGTAGCTTTACTGCCTTGCTTGGGATGAAATCGATTAAAAAATATTGTAAATAAACAAGGAATAGTGTTTAACATTTTTGTTGTCGCTTCTCAAGAAAAAAATCTATATGGCAAGATCAAGGTTTAATTAGTGAATAACATTTCAGAGTTAAGTCAAAAGCATTAGAAGTACAGGGTGCGATGGGTAAATTGTCGCCATTATATTTTTAATTTTGTGGATGCATGTTGTCTGTTTTTCATTTTGTTGACTGCACACTATAGTAGGGTCAGCTGGGCACTCTTTGTAAAAAAAAGAGTACCATGATGCAATTCACTCTGCCAGAAATTTGGAAACGGCATGCCATACTGCTTGGCATTCATGCCAGAAGCTCCAATACAAAGATTTCAGAGTGTTTGGGTGTCAATCTGAGGACAGTATAGAGGTTTTGGAAAGAGTTGGATGATATACCCAGTCAACATTATGATGTTTGGGGTGATCACTAGTGATGGTGATGTTATACCTTCATTCATCTTCCCACAGGGCCTCAGACTCAACATGGAGGCCTACATCAAGTGCTTTGAGGAGTTAGTGCTGCCCTGGCTCAAGATGGTGGCTGCTGGAAACTCTATGTTTGGCAACAGAACTTTGCACTATGCCACATAAGCTGGAGAACCCAGTCATGGCTGTCAGACAATATCTGCGACTATATCACCCCTTATCTAACTCCCCAGACTGCAACCCACTTGATTATTATGCATGGAACAGTTAAGCAATAGACCAACAAAAATCCTTGTAACACCAAAGATGAAATGAAGGCAAGGATAATGGCAACATTAAACAAGGAGACTGCCTAGAAGGGATGCAGGAGATTCCAAAGTCATGGTTGAAGCCAATGACAATTTTATTAAATAAATTTACTCTTTAGTATTGCATTTTTGTGCAGTTTTCATAAATATATCTGTTAAAATGAGATGTTAGTATTATTTTTATTTTTGCATAATTTAGATGACAATTTAGCTATCGCATCCTGTATAGTGCGGCAGTAGACTTTAGAAGAAACCGAAAACCCAATCCTAAACAGGAAACCAGTGATAAACTTTTACTCTTGTTCAAAAGAGTAGAGAGGAGTGTAAAGCAGACAAGAGACAAACCTATTTACTTCTATTTGGAGTGAAAAAAAATAATTAGTGAATGAAATTTCAGAGATAACTTAAAGAAGTAAGCATAAATCCAATTCTAAACAGGAAACAGGCGATAAACTTCTACACCTGTTCAAAATACCTGGGAAAAGTGTTAATTGGATGATGGGGCAATAGTTTCCTTGTAGTTCTTATTTTCCTTAAAATTATAGTATCCTCAGAATTCATCAGTAGAATTGCATCTGTCACTTCAAGTCTCTTCTTCATCTGTGAAGAAATTGTTCCTCATTTGCATTCACTATCAATTAGGATAACCATTCTACTTTTTTTTTTTCTTTCTAACATGTTTTTCTGATGTCTTATTACTTTGCTTAGTTTCTGGAAGACATTGTTCTATCTTCTGATGCAACTTCGAATTTCTGTATCACATTTTCCATCATCATCTTTTGCTACACTAACCCAGATAGCTAAACAGTTAGATTAAGCTTACATTGGAAGATTTTTGCCATAAAGTTTTACATTCATTTTTACATTAAAGATGACATTCAAATTTTAGACTTCAAAACACATAAATTAAGAAATAAACAAATTTATTTGTCTAAAATTTTATTTTGCTTTTTAATAATATCTGAAGAAAATGCGAAATAATTCAGAAAAATGTTTTAAATCATACAGGTAAGTAAAAAAAAAAAATTTGAAAAATATGTTGTGTAGAAAAATACAAAAACATTTTACCTATTTTGGTACAAAGTACAAAAATATTTGTGATTTTTATTAGACAAAAATTTAATTCAAACTGATTGTTTTTTATGACAGTCACAAAAAATGGATCTTTATCTTATTATTTAAAACGTGTGGATATTGAAAAAAAAGATACAAAAATAATTATAAGCTTGAAATAGCAGGCTTTAAATTTCTTGTAAACATTTTCTATTTTAGATATTTCCTCTGATAAAGTTCCTTTTACCATGAGTGACTGCTTAAAAATAACTTTTAGAGATGAATATATGTTGAATCTTTAATGTTTTATTGCAATGATGAAAAGTTGGTAATGTTAAACAAAAAACAAAAACAGTCGGTCAAAAGGAGTTATTTTTTTCACTAATACTATGTGCACTTTTGACTGCCTTGGCAATGTTTATTTACAAGATTATAAAAATATGTGAATCACATGCAATGAGATATTTATTAGTTAACTGTTATAAAGATTGATTTATCATTTTATACAGAAATAAATTTAAAGAGAAATATTTTCATTCAAAAATTTATAAAAAATTAGAAAATTATCAAAATATATAAAGATTAACTACAATGGTATATTTATTACTTACTATTAAGTATAAAAATATCACTGAACGATAGAACCAGAAAATTTGAATAAACATGATTTTCTGGTCCTAATGAATTTTATTAGATTATTTTACATCTCAGATTACTTCTTGTTTTAATTTTCCAAAGTTTTTTTAATAAATAGAAATCCAAGGCCTAAAACTCCAGCAATTATAGGTTACCTCCCTTTCTACTCTTTCATTAAAAAAAATTTTGAAAATGTTTTAAATTGTTATTTAAAAAAAATACCTAGAAAATCTGCCAACAGATTAAATAAGCAATCTAATAAATAAATAAATAAATAGTGTTTAACATCTTTGCTGTCATTTCTCAAGAATAAAGAAAATGTATAAATCTACTTTCATGTTTAGCTTTTAAGATTCTAATCATTTCTTTTTTAAACAGATATTGCTGAGAGAGTCAAAAGTGTATACAGTAATAGCAGTGTCAACCTTCCATTTGATACACTGTTTATTGTAGGCACAAAGGTTAAACATTACCAACTTTACATCATTGCAATAAAAAAAAAATTAAAGACTCAAAATATTTGTATTTCTATCCAGGTTTGATTTTAGATTGAAAAAGAAAAAATTTTCTTTCCTAAGTGGCAGCTAGAAATCAGAATGGAAATTTTAGTTATCACATTCCATATGAGACTTGGTTAAGAAGAATTCACTGCATATATTATCTTTATTGAATATCAATAAAAAAAAAATTTAAATCAAATTAGAAAATATATATATGTGCCTGATTTATATCTTTAGGCGGTCTTAGACTTGAAGCAACAGAAAAAACAACTCCAGGAACTCTGTGATGCCTTTTCACCTGAAAATTTAAAAGAAAAATATATTTAAAATTAAAAACAGCTGTAATAAAAACCTTGCTTCTATGCCTAAATGCTTGAAAATATTTAACTACAATGCAGTAGCATGCAGAAGGGAGGTTAGAGAATGCAATGGTCCTGAGCATCCATATCAGTAGGGCATCCAATCAAAGAGTGAAATAAAAATTTAGTTTATATTTAATTTGAATAAAGTGTTTATTTTATGTTTCATCTGTTTTTACATATTTAAAATATCTATCTTTCTCACCTTTCTCAGTACTATGCCCCCACCACTTGAATCTTGGGGCATACAATGAAGGAGTTAGTCCCGGACATCACAAAACCTCTGCACGTCACTGCTACAATGTAATATTACTATGCAACAACAGAAAGGTAAAATGCTCTTTATGCATACAAATTAGGTTTGGTTCATAACATTGAATGTCATTTGAATAAACAATGGACTCACCAAAACCATTAAATCAAAAATTTCACTGAAAAATCCAAACATAGATAAATATCATTTATTGCCAGAGTGTATTTAGCTGAAACCTTATACTAATAACATCTATTTATGAGAACAATAATTTGAATAAATTAAGTTATAGATATTTTGAGATCAAAACATTTTCATCAAACTTTCTTTGAAAAGGATACATGGCACATTGAATTTAAGGCAAAGAGAGCTCAAAGTTTTATTAACAATTTACCCATTAAGACTTTCATTACTGTATTGTTATAGAATTGTTGCTTGGCTGTGCTGGCCTGTTTTGGAAAAAAATAGGAACAACTTGCCATTTGCTGCAAGTAAATAACTAAAAAGACATTGATGGAAATTTATCATGGCTGCTACCATTTTGGTTTTGATCATACTCTGCTGTACAGACTAAGCTAAATGCAACCTCTAAACCAACAATATAATAAAAAAATATCACAATACAGGTCGTATTGTATGCTACCATGTTTCTGCATTGGTTTGAAAACAACACTAGGTGATAGTTTTGTCTTAACACAAATGCTAGAAACTAACAATTCATAGTTTTTTGAAAATTATATATATGTGTGTGTGTGTGTGTGTGTGTGTGTCTACCAGGTAGATTATGATATCTGAAAATGCATCAATTTTAACCCCTTCAGAAAAAATTTACCTGTCTAACTAGTCACTGAAAATGCACATATATAATATTTATATATAAAATGAATAATATAATATATATGTATAAAATATATATTGATAAAATATTTATATATGTGTTTGTCTGAGCCTAAAATAAAAAAAAGAAAAAGAACAAGTTGTGATAGTTTATGGGTAAAACAAAAGAACACATTAAGTTTTGGGATGATGAAATCAATTCTAAAATAACTGTACCTCTGGAGATCAGAGATGTAGTCTCTTCTCCCTGTTCAAGATCATGATTGCAATCCTTCTCTATTGGATCAGAACTTGGTTTATCTGCATCAAAAGCAAAAAAATACTGATAACACATTAAAATTCTGCAACAGGATTTCTAGCAGTTAACTTAAGTTGAAACTGAGTTGAAAAAAAAAAAGAATAAAAAATAAAAACTTTTATCTAAAATTTAAAAAAAACCTAGAGTAATGTGCAAATATTACATTACTACAAAGCTACAAGTATTCGAGATCTAAGAAAAACATTTAATACCAACATTTTGAATGAATAAAGGAATGTATTTTTATGATACAGCATTCAGTACCAAATAAATGGTTCTAAAATTTTTACTCTTTCATCAAATATCTATGGTGCTGATTACAATAATGACTTTATAATATATCAATTCATTTACTATCAAGCAAAATGTTTTCCTTTTTACATTTTAACCAATATGATCACCATGTTTCTATTCAAGGAGGTGGTGAAAATTTTTGTGCTACCAATAAGCACTTGCCCCAAAAATTAAAAAAAAACATTTTGGTTATTTGGTCTAATTGTTGGTCTATACATCCAAATCAATCCTATAAAAAAAAAAAAAAAGTAATGTTGTAGCTGCATCAATTAAATTAAAAAATTTTAAAATAATTATAACAATGCGTTCATGTGTGTTTACAAAAATCACTATATACAATGATCACACTGAGAATTAGTTTGTCTTCACAATTCACCCCTGAAGATGATCTTAGAAGAGATCAAAAGTACTTGGTTTAACAAAAACTATGGCACCTTCCTTGATGAATTTCATCTTAACATCAATAAGATAATTAGAGAATTAAAAAAGATTGTTATAAAAATAAATAAACATAATATGTCTATATTATTCAATGAAACATGCTTGAATAAAGATATGTTGCCTGAAGATATGAATTAAAGATCAAATGCAGATCAAATATGGGTTCAGAATCTGACAGGATGATAAAATAAGGAACAAATAGGAAATGTATATCAACCTAACATGTTTCACTTTTATTAAAGTGTTGTAGTAAAGAAAAGACTGTCAACTGATAGTAGCAACTGCAATAGATTTCTTCTGTTGTAGCCAAATCACAGTTCACACGATAGTCCGACGTAACAGTCCAACACACAACGTAGAAACGACAAAATGGGGTCACACATCCAACCTTCACTTCTCACCAACAACAATGCATGTTCGTTTCTCAGCTCAAAAAAATCATCTCCTTTTATAAGCGAAAAACAACGACTTCTGTTCACCAAAAGAATTTTCTGATTGATCACGCCATTGAGGAGAGGGAAAAACATTAGCATAGCTTCTAGTCATTGATGTAGATTTTTGCTGACTACTTTTTGGTAATTTTTCTTCAGCAGATCGCACACAAAACACAAACTTTTTTCGAGGTAACTGATTATCTCTTTCACTACACTCCCCCCTGTCACATACGTGACACTCATGGGCGGACCTCTTTATTCTTAAGCTTCTCCGGAGTGGGGCGACTGTTGGAAGAGATTGTGTGTTATCTTCTGAGGATTCTTCTGATCTGACAACCCCACGCACAGAGTCTTCGTCATCTGAAGAATGTTCTGAAGATTCTTCTTCTGAGGATTCTTCTAGTCTGACAACCTCACGCATAGAGTCTTCGCCATCTGAAGAGGTACTAGCCCTACCTCCGATGGTAATTATTCGTTCATTTTCTGAGCACTCACTGCTAGTGTCACTTGTTGAAGTATCTGTACCTACATAGCGACGCAAGTCCTTTATGTGTCTTGGTATGACATCAACCAGCACAGAGCGCGAGTTATTTACTCTAGTAACATGCCCCACCCAGTACTGAGTTGTACACCGGCTACGTGGAGCTTTTACCCACACACGATCACCCAAGGCATACGGCGCACGTTCCTTTATCCGTTCAGTTGAACGCGTCGTGTCAATGCCTCGTAGCTGGACTTTGTACTGATAAATCATGTTGGCTGGCGCAGTTGAGGGTGATACATTATTGTCTCTTGGAGTAACATTGTACCAATACACTGCCTCCATTATGGAACACTGCTTCCTAGCAGCGATTCTTTTGATGCTCTGATGACATCGCTCAATTATGCCATTTCCTGATGGGACATACGCGCAGTGAAATCTGAGGTGTACTACCCACGAATCCAAAAAATCTTTGAATAGTCCACTGCGGAATGCAGTGTCGTTGTCAGTGAGGAGTTCCATCGGAGGTCCACCTTCAAAGAACAATGACCCCAAGTGGTCAATGATGCTTGCGGAATCCTATCAACGCAGACGTTGCCAAATAGTGAACCGGGTTGGGCCACAGTCAATTATGGTTAAATAATGATGTCCGTTATAATGGGTGATGTCCATTCCAACACAGTGCCACACCTTGCTCACACTCACTTGTCCTTTTTGCTATTGCACAGGTGCTGGGTCAATGAACTGACACTCCTTGCATTCCCTGACCACTGCCCTGACAGCAACTTTGGATACGGAGGGATAAATCTGCCTCACGAAATATAGGGTCCGTTTTACACCAGGATGTCCGCTTTGGCAATGTACAGATTTTAGTAAATCTGAGTTACAGTTGCTTGCTGATGTTACACAGACATGTCCTACCGGCTCTACCTCTTTCTTAATAGCATCAAGCCATTTTGGGGGTACCCTTGTTAAAGTATCGGCCTTGTTCTGCTGTGATCTGACCAGCTGTATGTCTACGGATAAGTGGTATTCACTTACCAACTTTCCCAGTGTGTCTAGCCGCCTTCGAATGAGCATCTCGCTCGCAGCCTTTGTACGTATCATAGCCTTCCCTGTAAGAGTGTCTGCTATCCACTTATACACGCATGCGGAATCCGTGAATAAATGCAATACCTTTGCATTCCATTGAAGGGCCACGGTTACTCCCCTGATAATGGCATCTAATCCCGACAGGTTGATATATTGTGTATCCTTCTCGGGACGCAACCAACATGCATCTTCCACGGCAGTTTCACCTACTTCAAGAGACACTCCTGTTGCAAGGGAGCTCACGTCGACCCAGACGTTAAATTCACATCCGTCAACGCACCATTTACCACGTACAGAGTCATCTTGACGCACCCTAGTAATGACTTTCGCTATCATGTGTCTAAGGGGAGCATCATTTGTTGTGTCATCCCAGCCAGAAGTGACACCAGTCACCCTACGTTTGATAAATGCAGTTGCAATGCGGATCCACCCGCCCACGGGAAAATGTCCCACCAGCTTTCCACATAACGAAAACATGCTGCATCGTGTCACGTGTCTGGGAATGTCCTGGAGGTCGTTTCCACGTTTCCAGTAAAGCAAATTGTGCTCCCACCAGACCTGCAAGCCGAGCACACGAACACCATCCTCCAGTCGTTCTGGGTTCTTACATTCGAGCCCAAGGTCAGCAAAATGCTTTCTCACCTGTGCAGTGGGCACTAAGGTTTCGTTGATGTAGATGTCATCAATGTAATCAACGTCGCTTGACGAATTGTCTCATCCTTGGATAGCCAGCATCCACAATGGCTTTCATGATGGCTGGTGCCACATTGAGTCCGAATCCCATTCGGGTTAAGCAGTACCTCGTCCCATTAAGGATCACCGTCTGAAATGGCCACAGTGACCGGTGCACGCGTACCTGCAAGTAGGCCTTTTGAAGGTCAATCACAGAGACATTGGATCCCTTCGTTTGCCATTCTCTCAATTTTTGTGCACACACATCAGCATGAGCTGTGTATGTATCTACATGTTCGTTCAGTTCTCTATAATCTAGTACAGGGCGCACCTTTCCCTTGTTCTTTTGTACCACAGCCATCAACGGGATGAGGCTTCTTGGAGGACCAAGCTCTTCCTCGGGATACGGAGTCAGCCATCCATTGTCCAGCCACACCTGCAATTCGCAATGGTATTCTTCCTTGACGTGTTCGGGCACCGAATATTCTGACACACGGTTCTGAAGCTTTTCTGGTGGGTTATTTTCCGACCATTTCCAAAATGCTGTCCATGTCTTCATCCTTTGGTCGAACGCTGTGCTAAAGTCGGGCTCGTTGGTCTTCAAAGTAGCACAGATGGGCGGATCAGAAAACTTGACTTCGCCCGCCTCTGTAATGCGTACGCCGCCCAGCTCTTTAATAATGTCCATCCCAAGGAGCAGATCAAAACCTAATAACACGCTGTCCACGACCAACACACTGATTGTGACGGGGTCACCGTTGTTGATACTGAGTTTGATGTTTCCAACTCCCCGGCTTCTGAGAACCTTTCCATCGGTCGTTAGTACGTCCATCTTTTGTCTGCTCCACTGTCGACAAATCGAACCGTTCGTGAGTGTCCGAGTGCAGCCTGAATATATTAAAGCGGTATGTGTTATGCCGTTGATGCACACCTTAATCACAGGGAGCGCCTTTTTCATACTCGGTGCAGGGAAGAGACCGGCGCTGACGTCACGTCCCCCCATTCCATTTCCCAGACACTTAGAGGCAATATGACCTACATTGGAAGCATCGTAGATCGAGACATGCCTTTCGCGCCGACCGCTACTCATTTCTTCACGTTGATAGCGGCAGTCTCTGGCAAATGATTTGGCCCAGAGCACCGATAGCAGGTGACATCACCATGGCGACGGATGGCTGGGGTCGGACCTTCTTTGACTTCAAATGGATGAACGACTACGGCCACTGGTTCATCAGCCTCTTTTTCGTCGATCATGATAGCACGGGCTCTGGTCAACAATTGATTGAGCATCAGGTCTTCCATTCTGGATGATGCGCAGAGTATCTGCTTAACATGACTAGGCAATCCAGAAACGAAGGCACATGTCATCCATTCTACAGGAAGCGGTGCAATTGGAACGGTGAGCTTCTTTAATACTGTCTCGTCAGGTCACAGACGCCCCGCCTGGAATTGGTCGTAGGCCACAAACCGGTCAGTTCCAAATGCGGTTAGTAGAGCGTGCTTTATTTGCTCAATGTCACTTTTCTGTTCTTTGCTCAGATGCCTATACACAGCAAGGGCACTGCCTTTCAATCGCAGTGGAAGAATC